TCCGTTTGGACAGATAAACTGGGCCGGAACCGTATAGGGCAGTGATGGGCAACCTTTTGAGCTTGGTGTGTCAAAATTTGCCAAAAACCTGAGCATAATTTGGGTGGGGTGTCAACTTCGAGAAAAAAATAATAATTTTGCAATATTTATAGTTTAAATAAGAAAAATGTGTATTCCATGCTGAGTTATGGAGTGAACAATGCTCAAACATGCAGATGTTAAATTTGTAGAGCCTTTTACAAATTTAAGGATGGAATTAGATTGGCTCTTATAAGGTGTACTTCTCTGTGTGCGGCCACAAAAATAGCCATGCGTGCCACTGCTGACACGCGTGTCATAGGTTCACCATCATGGGTATAGGGTTTTGTAGGTCAAAACCAGCACTTTGAATTGTGCTCGGAATTGGATCGGCAGCCAGTGGAGCTGACACAACAGGGGGGTGGTATGCTCCCTGTATGCCTCTCCGGTGAGCAATCTGGCTGCCTCTCGCTGGAGTAGTTGGAGTTTCCGAGCAGTCTTCAAAGGCAACCCCATGTAGAGTGTGTTGCAGTAATCCAATCGGTAGTCCATGCTCTTGTTACATCCTGTATAGACTACTGCAATGCTCTCTACATGGGGTTGCCTTTGAAGACTGTCCGGAAGCTTCAACTAGTCCAACGAACAGCAGCCAGGTTCCTAACTGGAGCGGCTCTCAGGGAGCATACAACCCCCCTGTTGTGCCAGCTCCACTGGCTGCCAGTCTGCTACCGGGCCCAGTTCAAAGTGCAGGCTTTGGCCTATAAAACCCTAAATGGTTCTGGCCCAACTTACCTGTCTGAACGCATCTCCCTTTCTGAACCTTCAAGGACTTTAAGATCGTCTGGAGAGGCCCTGCTCTCGGTCCTGCCATCATCCTAAGCACAGCTGGCGGGGACGAGAGACCTTCTCAGTGGTGGCCCCTCAGCTATGGAACACCCTTCCTAGGGAGATCAGATCAGTTTTTTCGCTTCTAGCATTTTGGGAAAAAACTTAAGACATGGCTGTTCGAGCAGGCATTTGCGAATACTAAGTAACGGACATAAGAACGGAACAACTACATGATGGGACTGGACATTGTTTTAATGAGTATTTATTGAATTATGTTTTATTACAGTTGTTATGATTTTATTGATGTTAACGTTTTTATATTGTAATTGTGTTTTGTAAACCGCCTCGAGTCGCTGAAAGGCTGAGAGGGGCGGAATACAAATACAGTAAATAAATCGATATATACATTTGAAGAGGAAGATGTTTGGCAGGCTGATAGGAGCAACTCCATAGGCCAGTTGTAAACAAATGAGTGGGTGAGGAGTTGGGACTACCAGGCAAGCAATTACAACCTACAAGGAGATTCTCGAAGAGGGTGGCAAAGGTGACAAATTGTTTGGGAACTGCTGATTATCGTGGCATGGATTGATAAGTAGGATGGCTTGATATACAGATGCAATGATCAATTTGCATTCCAGATTATGTGGGACTTGTAATAACAATCAGGGAAAGGCTTTGCTTCCTGTCCTATCTATCTATCTATCTATCTATCTATCTATCTATCTATCTATCTATCGACCTACCTATTGGGTTTTGTCGAAGGCTTTCATGGCCGGAATCACTGGGTTGTTGTAGGTTTTTTCAGGCTATATGGCCATGGTCTATAGGCATTCTCTCCTGACGTTTCGCCTGCATCTATGGCAAGCATCCTCAGAGGTAGTGAGGTCTGTTGGAACTAGGAAAAAGGGTTTATATATCTGTGGAATGACCAGGGTGGACAAAGGACTCTTGTCTGCTGGAGCTAGGTGTGAATGTTTCAACTGACCACCTTGATTAGCATACAATGGCCTGACTATGCCTGGAGCAAACTTTTGTTGAGAGGTGATTAGATGTCCTTGTTTGCTTCCTCTCTGTTGTTGTGCTGTTGCAATTTTAGAGTTTTTTTAATACTGGTAGCCAGATTTTGTTCATTTTCATGGTTTCCTCCTTTCTGTTGAAATTGTCCACATGCTTGTGGATTTCAATGGCTTCTCTGTGTAGTCTGACATGGTGGTTGTGAGAGTGGTCCGGCATTTCTGTGTTCTCAAATAAAATGCTGTGTCCAGGTTGGTTCATCAGGTGCTCTGCTATGGCTGATTTCTCTGGTTGAAGTAGTCTGCAGTGCCTTTCATGTTCCTTGATTCGTGTTTGGGCAATGCTGCGTTTGGTGGTCCCTATGTAGACTTGGGTTGTTGTAGGTTTTTCAGGCTATACGGCCATGTTCTAGAAGCATTCTCTCCCGACGTTTTGCCTGCATCTATGGCAGGCACCCTCAGAGGTTGTGAGGTCAGTACCTATCTGAGGAGCGGTACCTATTGATCTACTCACATTTGCATGTTTTCAGACTGCTAGGTTGGCAGAAGCTGGGGCTAACAGCGGGAGTTCACGCTGCCCATCGGATTCGAACCTGCAACCTTTTGGTCAGCAAATTACCTGTATTTATTTCAGTTTTGTACCAAGTTGCTGACCTCAATTAATAAACCCAACATTCTAATTAAGACAACTTAACCCAGTTGGATGAACATAGATATGTAAGACCTCCTTTTATGGGGAAGTATTCCCATACAATGAGCCATGGAACATCTGTACACAGCTTCTTCCAACACTGACATCACATCGATATTCTTATCTATTTATGTATCTTTCTGCCAAAGTATGTATTTATATATATTTGTTTGTTTTTTAATTCTGTTTTTGTACTGAAAAGGCTCCTCCCTAGGAAGGGCATTCCATAGCTGAGGGGCCACCACTGAGAAGGCCCCGTCTCTCGTCCCCACCAGCCAGCTGGATGAGGGACAACAGATTGAAACTAAATCCAGACAAGACAGAGGTCCTCCTAGTCAGTCGAAAGGCCGAACAGGGTATAGGGTTACAGCCTGTGCTGGACGGGGTCACACTCCCCCTGAAGGCGCAGGTTCGCAGTTTGGGAGTTCTCCTAGATTCATCACTGAGCCTGGAACCCCAGGTTTTGGCGGTGGTCAGGGGAGCTTTCACACAATTAAAACTTGTGCGCCAGCTGCGCCCGTACCTTGGGAAGTCTGACTTGGCCACGGTGGTCCATGCTTTGGTTACATCCCGTTTAGACTACTGCAACGCTCTCTACGTGGGGTTGCCTCTGAAGACTGCCCAGAAGCTGCAGCTAGTCCAACACTCGGCAGCAAGACTACTAACGGGTGCTGGGTACACGGAGCACACCACTCCGCTGTTTCACCAGCTCCACTGGCTGCCAGCACAATTCCAAGCACAATTCAAAGTGCTGGTGTTAACCTATAAAGCCCTAAACGACTCTGGCCCTGTTTACCTCTCCGAACGTATTCTCCCCTATGAACCATCAAGATGATTAAGATTGTCTGGAGAGGCCCTGCTCTCGGTCCCACCGGCCTCGCAAGCGCGTCTGGTGGGGACGAGGGACAGGGCCTTCTCAGTGGTGGCCCCTCGACTCTGGAACTCTCTTCCACTGGAGATCAGAACCGCCCTGTCTATCCTGACATTTAGGAAACAGGTGAAGACTTGGTTATGGAGACAGGCATTCGACAAGTGAGCCAGATATGGATGGAGGATGATGAACAACGAGTTAGTGTGACGACTGACCATTGTAATTATTGAATGTAATTGCTGTTTTAATGTTTTAGTGTAAAATGAATTATGTTTTTATTAACTATATGTGATATTATGGTTGGAAACCGGTCTGAGTCCCTCAAGAGAGGTGAGAAGGCCGGTACATAAAACTTTTAAATAAATAAATAAATGGCTGTTGCTAGGTGAAGTGGCCCTCTGTGATGTCACTGGGAATGAAAGGTGACATCTGTATGAGAGAAGGAAGGAAGGAAAGAAAGAAAGGAAAGGAGAAGGCAGGAAATGAAGGGAAAGAAGGGAAGGGAATGGTAAACGGTATGATCCTTCATCTACCCAAACCCCATCCAGTAATACACAGAGGGTCACTTCACCTAGAAACAGCCTTTGTGGAACAAATGGATAAACAAACAAACAAACAAACAAAAAATATAGGTAGACAGATACCTTTCTGTGATTGGTCAGAATTGGAAGGCTCGTCCAATGACCTTCGCTACAGCTGATGTTGCTGAAGCGGGAAATTTGAAATTATTGTGTATAAAAGAGGTTGCATTTCTGTATTCTGGCATTCAAGCTTTTTTGTGCGAGATCATAGAATCATAGAATCAAAGAGTTGGAAGAGACCTCATGGGCCATCCAGTCCAACCCCATTCTGCCAAGAAGCAGGAATATTGCATTCAAATCACCCCTGACAGATGGCCATCCAGCCTCTGTTTAAAAGCTTCCAAAGAAGGAGCCTCCACTACACTCCGGGGCAGAGAGTTCCATTGCTGAATGGCTCTCACAGTCAGGAAGTTCTCCCTCATGTTCAGATGGAATCTCCTCACGAGCTATCATCTTATTCACATGAATAAACTCCTCGTTGGCTGAACTTCATTTCTGCTTAAAGAGCTGATTTACTTCATTGGGTGTCTTCTATGCTCACCAAGCAGAATTCCTCAACTTCTGGGGCAGGAAGGTAACAGCGCTCCATGAAGTCATGCTGGCAACATGACCTTGGAGGTGTCTACGGACAACGCCAGCTCTTTGTCTTAGAAATGGAGATGAGCACTAATTCCCAGAGTTGGACATGACTGGACTTAATGTCAGGGGAAACCTTTACCTATCTGGAAGTATTCACTTGCAATCGATAGTGTTCTCCAGGAAAACATCATTATTCTGCTTAAGGAAGAGGAAGCTGCTGCCACCTTCCACTACCAAATACTTCGAGCAGACAGTGGCTATTCAGAGTCAGGCAAAACCGTTTCTAAGTTTTGTAGAATTGTAACACATCGATCAATTGGTCGAATCAATCAGTTGATCAAACCTCTTGCTTTGAAAGCAATGCTATTTATTTTTTTGATTCTTGCTAAATACGAGATTTGTATTCTTTTCGTTCTTAGGTGCTGGTGAATACGGCATGTTGTATTCTGATGCTCATTGCTAAACTCATACAGGGAATCGTGTTTGGCTCTCTCCGAGTCAGCGAAAGGCAGGTAAGAAAGGCCTTGAGTGGCTGGTCGACAGATAGACTTTGTATTATATTGCAAATAGGTGAGTGGTGGTTATGTTGACCTCTTGCTCTTTAACGCTTTGCTTCTCAGGCAATACGGGGAAGTGGTATTTTGTCTCCTTAATGTGTAAGAGCACATAAACATTGCGTGTAAGGCAATGGTTCCCAACCTGTGGGTCCCAAGGTGTTTTGGCCTACAGCTCCCAGAAATTCCAGCCAGTTTACGAGGATTTCTGGGAGTTGAAGGCCAAAACATCTTGGGACCCACACGTTGAGAACCACTGGTGTAAGAGAACATTGCATCCATTGGCTTCAGCTTCCTCCCTCAGTCCCTTCCATCTGTCGTATTGTATTGTATCATATCATATCTTCTTGCATTGCTTTAAAATGCATTTCATTGTACCCTTTGCATAGAATTACGGAAAACATAGACCCATGTCTGATCCCACAGCAAGGCAAAAGCTGCACATCACAAGTGTTGAACCTGACTCAGCACATAGAAGATGGCTTTGAAAGGCAGCAGATCACAGGAGCTGTCTTCATAGACCTGTCAGCAGCCTATGATACTGTGAACCACCGCCTCCTCCTGAGAAAAATGTATATCACAAAGGACTACCACCTCACCCGCCTCATTGGAAACCTGCTACAAAACAGGAGCTTTTTTGTTGAGTTCCAGGGCCAGAGAAGCAGATGGCGGAAACGGAAGAACGGCCTGCCTCAGGGGAGCGTGCTTGCTCCATCCATGTTCAACATCTACACAAATGACCAGCCACTGCCAGAAGGGACAGAGAGTTTCATCTATGCTGATGATCGTGCCATTACTGCTCAAGCAGGGAGCTTTGAGATGGTTGAATAGAAGCTCTCTGAAGCTCTAGGTGCTGTTACTGCCTATTACAAGTAAAACAAACTGATCTCTAATCCATCTAAAACACAGACATGTGCCTTTCACCTTAAGAACAGACAAGCTCTGAGGATGACCTGGGAAGGAATCCCACTGGGGCATTGCAATACACCCAAATACCTGGGAGTCACTCTGGACCGTGCTCTGACCTACAAGAAGCACTGCCTGAACATCAAGCAAAAAGTGGGTGCCAGAAACAATATCATACGAAAGCTGACCGGCACAACCTGGGGATCACAACCAGACACAGTGAAGACATCTGCCCTTGCACTATGCTACTCTGCTGCTGAGTACGCATGCCCAGTGTGGAACACATCTCACCACACTAAAACAGTGGATGTGGCTCTTAATGAGACATGCCGCATTATCACGGGGTGTCTGCGCCCTACACCACTGGAGAAATTACACTGCTTAGCTGGTATTGCATCACCTGACATCCGCCGGGAAGTAGCAGCCAATAGTGAAAGGACCAAGGCAGTGACATCTCCAGCTCATCCCTTGTTTGGGTATCAGCCAGCACGTCAACGACTTAAATCAAGAAATAGTTTTCTTAGATCTACAGAGACACTCGCTGGAACACCTCAGCAAGCGAGAGTTCAAAGTGGCAGGCTCAAACCCAGCACCTCAATCCGTGGGTGATACCAGATGAGAGACTCCCCCCTGGGCACACAGAAGACTGGGCGACTTGGAAGGCGCTGAACAGACTGCGCTCTGGCACCACGAGATGCAGAGCCAACCTTAAGAAATAGGGCGACAAAGTGGAATCCACGACATGTGAGTGTGGAGAGGAACAAACAACTGACCACCTGCTGCAATGCATCCTGAGCCCTGCCACATGCACAATGGAGGACCTTCTCACAGCCACACCAGAGGCACTCCAAGTGGCCAGATACTGGTCAAAGGACATCTAATCAACTACCAAGTTTGCAAAATTTGTGGTTTTTTATCTGTTTGTTTGTTTTGTTCTGTTAGAAATGTAATACAATGGTCTTGTTTGCTGATGACACGATAAATATAAATAAAATGCCCCGTTTTGTGTGTAATGCGACATGTTCCATATGGCATTTTAATTCTTAAATTGTCTCAATCTTTTCCAGCATCTCAAGGATAAGTTTTGGAATTTCATCTTTTACAAGTTCATCTTTATTTTTGGAGTACTCAATGTCCAGACGGTCGAAGAAGTGGTCATGTGGTGCCTCTGGTTTTCAGGCCTCGTATTTTTACACCTCATGGTTCAGCTGTGCAAGGACCGGTTTGAATATGTAAGTCTGTCGTCGAGGGAGCTGCGCGTGGGAGGCAGAGCTGAGAAAAGAGTTAATGCTCACTCATTTATTGTAATGCATGAACCTTAATGCTGCAGCTAATATATTTAAATTAATTCATGAACCTTAATTCGTTCCATTAACATGCCTGGAACAGGTTTCGATAAAAGAATCAATTTGCCGAAAAGGACTCACCTTTCTAATGAATTGAAGTACATTATAATATTATCCCTGCCTTTAACCTTGAACAACATGGATGTCAACATAATTAAGTAATGACTTTTTAGCACTATTGTTTCAAAGTTTAAAGAGTTATGGTGAAGAATTCATTTAGAATTAATTTATCACGTGTTCTGTGGTAGTACACTATGTATTCAGTCACCTGTCAACATAAATGCATGCAAATATATCAAAATCAAAGTATATGTATGCTTGCATAGGGCTGTTGCTAGGTGTAGTGGCCCTCTGTGAGATCACTGGGTTGGTTGTTGCTAAGTGAAGTGACCTTCTGTGAGATTATTGGGTTGGTTGTTGTGAGACAGCCCGCCCGTTGTCTCTGTGCTTGTGTCTATTTTAATTCTTATAGTGTTATGTATTCATATGTTTTATGTAATTATTATGTTGTTTACTGTTTGCGTTTTCGGTTGTGTTTTGATTTTTTAAATTGTAATTGTTGTTCGGGCCTGGCCATGTAAGCCGCTCCGAGTGCCCATTGGGGAGATGGTGGCGGGATATAAATAATAATAATAATAATAATAATAATAATAATAATTATTATTATTATTATTATTATTATTGGCTGTTGCTAGGTGAAGTGGCTGTCTGTGATGTCACTTAATTGATTTGCAAGGTGAAGTGGCCCTCTGTGACATCACTGGGTTGGCTGCTGCTAAGCAAGGGATTGTCTGTGTGAAGTGAAGTGATCCTCTGTGAGGTTACGGGATTGACTGTTGCTAGGTGAAGTGGCCCTCTGATGTTGCTGAGTTGGGTGCTGCTATGCAAAGGATTGTCTGCTGCTAGGTGAAGTGGCCCTCTGTGAGGTTATTGGGTTGGCTGCTGCTAAGCAAGGGATTGTCTGGTGCTAGGTGAAGTGGCCTTCTGTGAGATCATTGAGTTGGCTGTTGCTAGGTGAAGTGGCCCTCTGAGGTCACTGGGTTGGCTGTTGTTAGACAAAGGGTTGTCTGTTGCTTGGTGAAGTGGCCGTCTATGATGCCACTGGATTGGCTGTTGCTAGGTGAAGTGGCCCTCTGTGATGTCTCTGGATTGGCTGCTGTTAGGCAAATGACTGTTGCTAGGTGAAGTGGCTCTCTGTGATGTCACTGGATTGGCTGTTGCTAGGTGAAACGTTCCTCTGTAAGATCACTCGGTTGGTTGTTAGGTGAAGTGGCCATCTGTGATTTCATTGGATTGACTGTTGCTAGGCAAAGAATTTATGTTGCTAGGTGAAGTGGTCCTCTGTAATGTCTCTGGGTTGTCTGCTGCTAGGCAAATGACTGTCTGTTGCTAGGTGAAGTGGCTCTCTGTGATGTCACAGAATTGGCTGTTGCTTGCTGAAGCGTTCCTCTGTAAGGTCACTGAGTTGGCAGCTAGATGAAGTGGCCATCTGTGATGTCTCTGGATTGGCTGCTGCTAAGCAAATGACTGTCTGTTGCTAGGTGAAGTAGTTCTCTGTGATGTCACTGGATTGGCTGCTGCTAGGTGAAGCGGTCCTCTGTAAGGTCACTGAGTTGGCAGCTAGGTGAAGTGGCCATCTGTGATTTCATTGGATTGACTGTTGCTAGGCAAAGAATGTATGTTGCTAGGTGAAGTGGTCCTCTGTGATGTCTCTGGATTGGCTGCTGTTAGGCAAATGACTGTCTGTTGCTAGGTGAAGTTGCTCTCTGGGATGTCACTGAATTGGCTGTTGCTAGGTGAAGCGGTCCTCTGTAAGGTCACTGGGGTGGCTATTAGGTGAAGTGGCTCACTTCGATGTCACTGTATTGGCTGTTGCTAGGTGAAGCGTTCCTCTGTAAGGTCACTGGGTTGGCTGTTGGGTGAAGTGGCCATCTGTGATTTCATTGGATTGACTGTTGCTAGGCAAATAATTTATGTTGCTAGGTGAAGTGGCCCTCTGTGATGTATCTGGATTGGCTGCTGCTAGGCAAATGACTGTCTGTTGTTAGGTGAAGTGGTTCTCTGTGATGTCACTAGATCAGCTGTTGCTAGGTAAAGCGTTGCTCTGTAAGATCACTGGGTTGGCTGTTAGGTGAAGTGGCCATCTGTGATTTCATTGGATTGATTGTTGCTAGGCAAAGAATGTATGTTGCTAGGTGAAGTGGCCCTCTGTGATATCTCTGGATTGACTGCTGCTTGGCAAATGACTGTCTGTTGCTCGGTGAAGTGGTTCTCTGTGATGTCACTGGATCGGCTGTTGCTAGGTGAAGTGGTCCTCTGTAAGGTCACTGGGGTGGCTATTAGGTGAAGTGGCTCTCTGTGATGTCACTGAATTGGCTGTTGCTAGGTGAAGCGTTCCTCTGTAAGGTCACTGGGTTGGTTGTTAGGTGAAGTGGCCATCTGTGATTTCATTGGATTGACTGTTGCTAGGCAAAGAATGTATGTTGCTGGGTGAAGTGGCACTCTGTGATGTCTCTGGATTGGCTGCTGCTAGGCAAATGACTGTCTGTTGTTAGGTGAAGTGGTTCTCTGTGATGTCACTAGATCAGCTGTTGCTAGGTGAAGCGTTGCTCTGTAAGATCACTGGGTTGGCTGTTAGGTGAAGTGGCCATCTGTGATTTCATTGGATTGATTGTTGCTAGGCAAAGAATTTATGTTGCTAGGTGAAGTGGCCACCTGTGATGTCACTGGGAAAGAAAGGTGATGTGTGTGAGTGGAAGAGAGGAAGGAAGGAAGGGAGGGAGGAAGGAAGGAAGGAAAAAGAAGGGCAAGAAAGGAATGAAGAAGAAAGGAAGGGGAAGAAAAAAAGAGGGAAGGAAGAAAAGCAAAGAAGGGATGAAAGCAGGAGGAGGTAGCACCCATTTAGATATGCTATGTAATTATATTGGAAAGATTTGCAACCTCGTCCACAATTATTTCATTGCTGAATCAGCTCAGAAGTGAAGATAAGACTATGGAGATGGGATCTTGGCAAGTTCCTTTGCCTTGCCAGGGCTGAGCTTTGGAAGTCGGAAGGAGCCCTGTGCGTTTCCTGACCCCTTTCCTTTCCACATTGCAGCTCTCCTTCTCCCCCACGACCCCCATGAACAGCCACATCCGAGTCCTGACCTTGCTGGTCGCCATGCTGCTTTCTTGCTGCGGCCTTGGCATCGTGTGCGGCGTTATCGGCTATACCCACGGGATGCACACCTTATCCTTCATGGCTGCAGAGGTGAGGTTTTCCCATTTTCCTCTTGATTTATTTCACCATGGGTTGTAGTTACAGAACTGACAATAATTGAATCCAAAAGCTGCTAGAACAGTGTTTCTCAACCTTCCTAATGCTGCGACCCCTTAATACACTTCCTCATGTTGTGGTGACTCCCAACCATCACATTATTTTTGTTGCTACTTCATAACTCGAATCTGGGGAGAGGCGGGTGAGCTCCCTCTATCAGCTCCAGCTCCTCATGCGGGGACATGAGAGAAGCCTCCCACAAGGATGATAAAAACATCAAATCATCCGGGCGTCCCCTGGGCAACGTCCTTGCAGACGGCCAATTCTCTTATACCAGAAGCGACTTGCAGTTTCTCAAGTCGCACCTGACACGATAATAATAATAATAACTCTAATTTTCCTACCGTTCTGAATCGTCATGGAAATATCTGATATGCAGGATGTATTTTCATTCACTGGACCAAATTTCGCACAAATACCCGATACGCCCAAATTTGAATACTGGTGGGGTTGGGGGGGATTGATTTTGTCATTTGGGAGTCGTAGTTGCTGGGATTTATAGTTCACCTATAATCAAAGAGCATTCTGAACTCCACCAAAGATGGAATTGAACCAGACTTGGCACACATAACTCTCATTACCAACAGAAAATACTGGAAGGGTTTGTTGGGCATTGACCTTGAGTTTGGGAGTTGTAGTTCACCTACATCCAGAGAGCACTGTGAACCCAAACAGTGATGGATCTGGACCAAACTTGGTATGAATACTCAATATGCCCAAATGTGAACACTGGTGGAATTCGAGGAAAATAGACCTTGACATTTGGGAGTTGTAGTTGCTGGGATTTATAGTTCACCTACAACCAAAGAGCATTCTGAACTCCACCAATAATATGATTGGGCCAAAGTTCCCACACAGAACCCCCATGACCAACAGAAAATACTGTGTTTCCTGATGGCCTTTGGTGACCCCTCTGACACCCCCTTGCGACCCCCCTAGGGGTCCCGACCCCCAGGTTGAGAAACACTGTGCTAGAAACATTCCAGCTACACAGAAGAGCATGAGGAGAAGGGAGGAGGGATGAGGAGACCCTTTGTAAAAAGGCTTTGTAACCGAGATGTGCTTGTGAAGTACAGGGTGTCCCAAAAGTAATCATAAATGGAAAAAACGAACAAACTCATATTACATTTATATTTTATGTATGTATTCCCCCCCTCTCTGTATGTGTGTGTGTGTGTGTGTGTGTGTATAAAAATTTTGTAATTAGTATTTTGTAAATAAAAGCACATTTAACTCTTAATTTCCAGTTTCCACTGTGTACTGTGACTTTTGGGACACTGTTTATGTGCTACCAAGGGATAGACTAAATGTCAACATTAGCTCTATGAAATCAGTGCAATTTAGATTAGTTAATCAAACAATCCTTACACTATGTATTGTCGAAGGCTTTCTTGGCCGGAATCACTGGGTTGTTGTAGGTTTTTTCGGGCTATATGGCCATGTTCTCAAGGCATTTTCTCCTGAGGTTTCGCCTGCACCTATGGCAAGCATCCTCACTACCTCTGAGGGTGCTTGCCATAGATGCAGGCGAAACGTCAGGAGAAAATGTCTCTAGAACATGGCCATATAGCCTGAAAAATCCTACAACAACCCAATCCTTACACTATCAATATAATGACATAATATACTTTGAATATGTTTTACCTGAATTTTTTAATACTGCTTAATTCTGTTTTAATGTTTGCATACTGCTATATTTTAAATTGCATGCTAATGCGTTTATGTTAAGCTGTTTTGAGTCACCTTCCAGAGAGATAAAATGGGACATAAATAATCATAACAATAATAGCCCCTGTTCTCGTTCCTGTGGCTACTTCATTAGATTTCAAAGAATATTTAATGTGACATTGTTCTGTTTTTGTTTTTCTTTCTGGTGCCTATAGTCTCTTCTTGTCACCGTGAGAACAGTGCATGTGATCCTGCGGTAAGTAAAGATCTGAGTTTAGGCAAAAGGTTGATCTTTGACTCAGTCACCAATTTGTTTTCCTCCTTTTCCCATCGTGATCCCTGTGAATCGCACATATGGTAGTTTCTGCGCCAGAGCAGACAGCTTTGGAACCTTCTAGATCAGTGGTTCTCAACCTTCTTAATGCCATGACCCCTTAATTCAGTTCCTCATGTTGTGGTGACCCCCAACCATAAAATTATTTTCGTTGCTACTTCATAACTGTCATTTTGCTACTGTTATGAATCGTCATGTAAATATCTGATATGCAGGATGTATTTTCATTGACTGGACCAAATTTGACACGAACACCTAATATGCCTGCATTTAAATACTGGTGGGGTTGGGGAGGATTTATTTTGTCATTTGAGAGTTGTAGTTGCTGCGATTTATAGTTCACCTACAATCAAAGAGCATTCTGAACTCCACCAACGATGGAATTGAACCAAACTTGGCACACAGTTCTCCCATGACCAACAGAAAATACTAGAAGGGTTTGGTGAGTGTTGAACTTGAGTTTTGGAGTTGTAGTTCACCTACATCCAGAGAGCACTGTGGACTCAAACAATGATAGATCTGGACCAGAATTAGCACAAATAATATATCCAAATGTGGTGGAGCTTGGGGAAAATAGACCTCGATATTTGAGAGTTGTAGTTGCTGGGATTGATAATTCACCTATAGTCAAAGAGCATTCTGAACTCAGCCAACGATGGATTGGAACAAACCTTGGCACACAGAACTCCCATGAATAACTCCGCGGCCCCGCCGAGGGAGCCTTCTCGCGAGGAGAGCCCTCGGCTTGATCGAGGAGTGCCCTCGGCTGGGTCGCGGCCTTGCCGGAAGCCTTCTCGCGAGGAGAGCCCTCGGCTGGATCGAGGAGTGCCCTCGGCTGGCTTGCGCCCTTGCCGGAAGGCTGGACCGTGCCCCAGCCGAGGGAGACTTCGTGCGAGGAGAGCCCTCGGCTGGGCGTGGCATTGGGGCGGGGCCTAAGGAGCGGCCTCGCGACCCCTCCGAAATGGCTAAACGACCCCCCTGGGGGTCGCGACCCCCAGGTTGAGAACCACTGCCTTACACCATCCCAGTTGCAAATCTCTAAATTGGGATCTAACTCATTCTCATTAAATCACAGAAGTACACTCAATATGAGCTGTAATTCAAGAAAGATATGAAGTGGGTCAAAACAAAATATCTACAGCACTATTACAAAATATAGGGTTAAATCCATCTTCTCCAACCCTTCAGGCATGTTAGGTGGACAGGTGTGTATCAAAATATTTTCGAAACGAGTCTTTTATTAATTTTGGAATCTTATTTATGTACTATCCACCTTTCTTTTTGTTACCTAGTTACGTCATTCATCTCTGGGATCTCAACCATGAAGGCACCTGGGAAAGCAAGGGAACATATGTTTATTACACAGATTTCATCATGGAGCTAACGCTTCTGTCGTTGGACCTGATGCATCACATTCACATGCTGGTATGTTTTGTTCCTTTTGTCAAAACATAGATAAAAATACAAAAGTGGTTTTTAAAAGATACACTTGCGATTCTCATATTTATTTGTATCCTACTTTTTTCCCTAGACTGGGGCTTGAGATGGTTAAAACGTAGCTACAATGTCACTCTGGCAAAATGTAAACAAACAAACAATTAGAACTAGTTGGAAACATAACCAACCAATAGGTGATCAATTTGCTTGGAAGGGTCCATCTTCTAACCCTGCTGAATCAAAAAGAAACCCCTCTAGTCTCTTTAAATAGGAAAAGGTTTTTCTGATAAAATTACAATAATAACAATAACAACAACAATAATAAAACAACAAAGTATGGATTGTTGATGTCGCAATCCCTGGTGACAGCAAGATTGAAGAGAAACAACTGGAAAAGCTGACACGATGCGAGGATTTAAAGATCGAACTGCAAAACTCTGGCACAAGCCAGTCAGTGTGGTCTCAGTGGTGATCGGCACACTGAGTGCAGTGGCTAAAAACCTTGGCCTGCACTTAAACACAATTGGCGCTGACAAAATTACCATCTGCCAGCCGCATAATAATAATAATAATAATAATAATAATAATAATAATAATAATAAACCTTTATTTATACCCAGCTAACATCTCCCGAAGGACTCTGTGCGGCTTACAAGAGGCCAAGGCCCAACACATCAATAAAACAACAGCATAACAAATACAACAATAAATAAACTCATAAACTCATAAAACAAAACAATAAACATTAAGACTAGCAGTAAACATTAGACAATAACACCACGACGCATTTAAGACTAAGACCGGGCCAATTGTAATGATTAAAAAATTTAAAAGGCCACCTTACTGGGATCCGCTGCATTATTCGCCAATACGTCACACAGTCCTAGACACTTGGGAAGTGTCCGACATGATCCAATTCAACAGCCTGCAGAGTGTCTGCTGTGGACTCATCTTGTTGTCTTTCAATTATTATTATTTTTTGTCATGTCAGGAGCGACTTGAGAAACTGCATGTCGCTTCTGGTGTGAGAGAATTGGCCGTCTGCAAGGACGTTGCCCAGGGGACGCCCAGATGATTTGATGTTTTTATCATCCTTGTGGGAGGCTTCTCTCATGTCCCTGCATGAGGAGCTGGAGCTGATAGAGGGAGCTCATCCACCTCTCCCCGGATTCGAACCTGCGACCTGTCGGTCTTCAGTCCTGCCGGCACAGGGTTTAACCCACTGTGCCACCGGGGGCTCCTCCTAGGGGTCTTTCAAATAATAATAATAATAATAACAACAACAACAACAACAATAATAATGCTAATAATGTTTTTTTCCGTGCCAAGAGTGACTTGAGAAACTTCAAGTCGCTTCTGGTGTGAGAGAATTAGCCATCTGCAAGGTCATTGCCCAGGGGACACCCAGATGTTTTACCATCTTGTGGGAGGCTTCTCTCATATCCTCACATGGGAAGCTGGAGCTGACAAACGGGAGCTCAGCCCACTCCCTGGATTCGAACCGCCATCCTTTCGGTCAGCAGTCCTGCCAGCACAAGGGTTGAACCCATTGCACCACCGGGGAGTTCAAATCCAGGGAGCGGGGTGAGCTCCTGTCTGTCAGTTCCAGCTTCCCATGTTGGACATGAGAGAAGCCTCCCACAGGAAGGTAACACATCTGGGTGTCCCCTGGGCAATGACCTTGCAGATGGCCAATTCTCTCACACCAGAAGCGACTTTACGTTTCTCAAGTCACTCTTGGCACGGAAAAAAACATTATTATTATTATTATTATTATTATTATTATTATTATTTGAAAGACAACAAGATGAGTCCACAGCAGACACTCTGCTGGCTGTTGAATCTGGGTGTCCCCTGGGCAACGTCCTTGCAGACGGCCAATTCTCTCACACCAGAAGCGACTTGCAGTTTCTCAAGTCACTCCTGACACACACAAAATAATTCTTACCTGCCTCTCTTTGTGACCCATCTATTACACCTGGACAGTGGTGTGACAGAGGGACCTATCTCAAAACACGGGCACATAAATATGGAAAAACAAGGTCCTTCAGGTGGTTGGGTCTGAGCTGTACGTGCCTTTATATGCCATTGTTTTGAATTACGCCTGGAAACAGATTGGAAATTAGCATAAGATGGTTTATTACAGAGTTGGGTTATCTTCTCTTTTTTCCCCCATCTCTGAACACACATTTTACCCACTTCTTCCTTTTTGGATGCTTGAATTTGCTAATGTTCCTTTCTAAATTGTTTTGGCAGCTGTTTGGCAACATCTGGCTGTCGATGGCCAGCTTGGTGATCTTCATGCAGCTGCGTTACCTGTTCCATGAGGTTCAGCGCAGGCTTCGCCGCCACAAGAACTACCTCCGGGTGGTTGGGAACATGGAAGCCAGGTGAGCAAGCGGCTACAATTCTGCAGAAGGAGAAGGAAGGTCGTTTTTTCATTCCTTGGGGAGATGAGTAGTGTTAGCCTCCTGCAGCAAAAGTAATACAGCCTTGTGTGTTTTGTTTGCAGCCAGCTTTTGTAGGCTATGGATTATGCTTTGGGCATAGAGTGTCAGTGTTGGAGGGTAATTTCCAAAGTGGGAAAAGCATTCAAAAGGGTAGAGCAGGAATAACAACAGTAGAAGTACCGTATATACTCGAAAATAAGCCGACCCACCTAATTTTACCACAAAAACTGGGAAAATTTATTGACTCGAATATAAGCTGAGAGTGGGAAATGCAGCAGCTACTGGTTGATTCCAAAATAAAACTAGATACCAATAAAATTACATTAATTGTCAAGACCCAGAAGCCTCAAGTAGAGCCAAACACAAGATAAAGAGTTCAAACACAGCTTTATTGTACAAAAATAGTCTTTTAAAGCACTTAACTTCAGTGCATAAAGTCAGTGTAGCAATTTGGCATCAAAAATGCAGTAATAGCAGTAACAAAAATATAATCTGGATCATAATGCTGTTTAATCCAGATTAAACTCAAAGTTCAGCAATCTGCTTGAAAATTAGCACAGCACAAAAACACAGTCACAGAAGATGCAAAATGAAGTCCCAAAAACGATGAGATGTTCAAGCACAAAGTTAACAGAGTTTAAAGTTCCAGTAGGCAAAAGCGAAAGTCAAACCGGTCCGTAGTCAAGCCGTAGTAAAAGGTAAACACAGGAATGCAGGAGTCTCAGGAATGCAGGAAGCTGTAGCCAAGGACCCAAGCTAGAGAGCTGGCAGCAACAAAGATTTATGTCCCATAAAGACACTTTGCCTTCTGCGAAGTTCTATGGTCAACACAGCAGCTTTTATCTCATAATTCCTCATCGCTAGAAGGGCTACTCCCTTCTTCCTCATTACTGCTATCAGCTGCCTCATTCCCCACAAGTGAGTGTGATGGCCCCTCTCTCCAGCGCTGCCAGCGCCTGTCAAGACTTACGTCTTGCCAGGAACTCCCAGGTTGCCAGTCACTAGTGAAACCCTCAAACTCTTCACTCGAAGTAGGTTGATTACAAATGTCTCTTATCTGTTGCACACGGGTCCAATCTAAACCCTGGTTCCCTTCATCACTACTTGAAGCCCCATCATTCCCATCAAAACCCATGAATTCATCATCTGATGTAGGAGTGGTAAGTATTTCCCGGATGCGCTTCCTCTGAAGCTCTTTATCGGACTCCGGATCACGAGTAGCCCTCTTTACTCCCCTGCTCTCCTCCGCATCTCCCATTTCACAATCAGAGAAGCCCTCAAACGTCTCGGAATCACTTGGGGCCAATATTATTTCCCTAATGCGTTTCCGCTGTTGTCCCCCCTCTGACTCTTGCGCAGACCTCTTCTCCCTCCTACTGGTAGTAGGAATGTTAGCATCACGCTGAACTGCAACATTAATTGAGGTACCAGTAGGTTAAATGTTTCTGAATATTTACATAAAACTGTAATTTAAGGTAAGACTGTCCAGCTCTGATGAAACCATTATTCTAGACTCCTTCAATGTAAATGTGCTTACGTATCCTTCCAATAATAATAAAGGGAGCAGTAAAATAATAAATGTAATAAATAAATGTAAAATAATAAATGTAATAAACAGAGTAAAATAATACTTGAGCCAAGGTTATTTATTATTTTACTCTGTTATTAATATTATTTTTATTATATTTATGTTATTACTCTTTTATTATTTTTATTACATTTATTATTTAATAAATGTAATAATAATAAATAATAAATAGTCTTTAATAAAAATAATAAATGTAATAAAAATAATAAATGTAATAAAATAAGATAGTAAAATATTGTAAAAGTAATAATATCAATAATAATGGAGTAAATAATAAATGTAATAAAAATAATAATAGAGTAATAACATAAATATAATAAAATAATACTAATAATAGAGTAAAATAATAAATAACCTTGGCTCAAGTATAAACCAAGGGGAGCTTTTTCAACCTAAAAAAGGGGCAGAAAAACTAGGCTTATACTCGAGTATATACAGTAGTTTAGCAGATTGGAAGCTTCTAGTGCCAGGAGAAGAGCAATTGAGCTTTAGTAATACAGGAGCAGAGCGGAGCTTTGAAAGTTATCACTTTGTTCAAAGAGTACTACATGGGAAAGTTAACACAGGGCCTAGCTATCTAATTAACTCGCTCACAGCAGACATCTTGTCTCTCTCCATGCTCACAGGAGAAGGACAAAATGGAGGACTCTGAGCCTTGCCACTTGCTCACTTTGTCCCTAAGAGGTGTCACTCTAACAAAATGATAGGATGAGAGAAAAGAAGACAGGCAGACAAAGAGGCCAATGGGGGAAGAGCTTCCCAGCTAACCCATTTGCTTATCTAAGACCTTGATGAGGACTATAACCTTGTGCAGGATGTGGTTGAGTTCTAACAATCAGCAGATTATTTATTTAATGCCGTGTGTGGGTGGGCATATGGATCTGTGGGCATGAGAGATGATAATCATTGGTTTAAGAGGAAACTGAAGAGTAAAAAGTACAAACATTGATCACTATCTGAACAGAGCGAACCAACAATTAGTTAGGTGGTGACACACAGATCCTGACATTGATAAGAACACCACTTCATGTAGAGAGATAAAAGGCCTCATCCTGGTTGATACTACAGGAGTAGAGCCTTCCATTGAACTCTCGTTCAGGTTGTCATTTATGTATTTATTTATTTACGACATTTACTGTCTATACTCGAGTATAAGCCTAGTTTTTCAGATCTTTTTTTTAGGCTGAAAAAGTCCCCCTTGGCTTATACTCGAGTCAAGGTTATTTATTATTTTACTCTGTTATTATTATTATTTGTACTACATGTATAGTTTTACTCTATTAGTATTATTACATTTATTATTTTACTTTATTATTGTTATTACATTTATTATTTACATTTATTATTTTACTCTATTATAATTCTTATTACTACATTTACATTATTGTAATCAATAATAATAATAATTCTTGCAGTGTGTTGCAATCCAGATCAGGAAACAAGACCATAAGATATTAATCCACCACACTTGACTGTGGGAAAAAACAATCCTTTTTTATTGATGAAAAATGGTTACAAAACAGAGGAAAAGACAAAGTCAAAAAGCCACAGTAAAATTCAGCAGTCAGGAATATCTCTGAACTAGATCAAAATTCCAAAAGTAACACTATAAAAACCTGGAACCTGTTAGCATTTCACTAACCATACTTGGAAACTAGAAGCCTCTGGGAATGCAGGCCATGGGAAACGGGAATTCTGCCAAGGTATTGCCTCAGTCTAAATGATGCTTGATCTAACGAGACAGCCCGGTGAGCGACACTTTAAACTAAAGAAACTGTTTCGGGACACGCCTCCAGACTTTGAAGCTTATGCCTCCCTTTCCTTTAATCTGCTTGATCTTCGCAGACTCTGCAATTCACTCCTGTTTTTCCAAATCTGTCCTTTTCTATCCTCATTAAAAAAGGCAGGTGCTAGCTCCTCTGGAGAGCTATCACCGCTTGATTCTGAAACATTCCCATCAGGAAATGTAGTTTCACTTAACAAGCCACTGACCTCAGAATATTCCATATGCCCAAATATGAACACAGATGGAGTTTGGGGGAAATAGACCTTGACATTTGGGAGTTGTAGTTACTGGGATTTATAGTTCACCTACAATCAAAGAACATGCTAAACTTCACCAGCGATAAAATTGGGGCAAACTTCCCACACATAACCCTCATACTTAAAGCCATCCAGTCCAACTCCCTTCACCGGGGCAATGAAATGTAATCAAAGCCCTCCTGACAAAGAGCCATCCTGCCATAGATATAGATAGATATATATGATTCACACACAAACAGATATAGTATCAAGTATTTGAAAGGAACCCCTAAAGAAGTACAATTATATGTTGCATGTTCCAGAATAGGCAAACCAGACAATCTCCACATCAACACTGACAAAAATACAGCAAGAAATACTGTTTACCCACAGGCATAAAGAAATTACATATATTAGAAACAAACACTTTCTAATTACTTTATTTTCCAGATCACTAGACTGGGCCACAGCAACGCCTGGCAGGGGACCGCTAGTATTGTAATATTATTAGTAATATTACATGTAATATAAATATATAATTATAATATCATAAATATTATTAGTATTATATTGCATTACATTATAATATTATAAACATATTATTTATCAATATAAATATGTAATACAATGTTTTCATGTTGAACTCTGCCTTTTGTTTAGCTCTGATGATGTTTCAGTGCAACCCAATGTATGTTCTCCCATGTAGGTATATCTGAGGCACATGCTTCCATATTTACATATTCAATAGGGCTGTGTTTTGTTTTCAGATTTGCAGTGGCAAGTCCCGAAGAGCTGGCTGCGAACAACGACGACTGCGCCATTTGCTGGGATGCCATGCAGGCTGCGCGCAAACTCCCCTGTGGGCATCTTTTCCATAAGTATGCACCTGGAATAAAGATATGTGTTGGGTTGGCTGCAGTTGACAGCAAGAGGAGTATCGGAAATACGTTTTGAACCTTTACAATGTTTTTTAATGCATTTTCAGTGAGACAGAGTATATTGGACACTTCCAGAGAAAGAAGTAGAAACTCAGACTCAGTACTGGTTTTATAATAGTTATGTTGGTTACATAGACAAATAGGGAAACATCACATATTCCGTATATACTCAAGTAAACGTCGACCTGAATGTAAGCCGAGGCACCTAATTTTACCACAAAAAACTGGGAAAACGCATTGACTCGAGTAAAAGCTGAGGGTGGGAAATACAGCCGCTACTGGTAAATGTCAAAATAAACATAGATACCAATAAAATTATATTAATTGAGGCATCACTAAGTTAAATGTTTTTGAATATTTACATAAAACTGTAATTTAAGATAAGACTGTCCAGCTCTGATTAACACGTTATTCTAACTTTCTTCAATGTAAATGTGCTTACATATCCTTCCAATAATAAGCGAGGAAATTAATAAATGTAATAATAATAATTGAAGTGACTGGACTGACCTTGAGGGAGCTGGGGGTGGTGACGGCCGACAGGGAGCTCTGGCGTGGGCTGGTCTATGAGGTCACGAAGAGTCGGAGACGACTGAACGAATGAACAACAACAACAATAATAATAATAATAGAGTAAAATAATGGAAATTGATAAGTAACAGTAATAATAGAGTAAAATAATGTAAGAATAATAAAGAGAATAAAATAATAAATGTAATAATAAATAGAGTAAAATAATAAATGTAATAATAGTAAATAGATTAAAATAATACATATAATAATAATAATAATAATAATAGAGTAAAATAATGGAGATTGATAGTAACACTAATAATAGAGCAAAATAATGTAATAATAATAAAGAGAATAAAATAATAAATGTAATAATATTAAATAGAGTAAAATAATACATGTAATCATAGTAAATAGATTAAAATAATGCATGTAGTAGTAATAATAATAATAACAACAACAACAACAATAATAGAGTAAAATAATGGAAATTGACAGTAATAATAGAGCAAAATAATGTAATAATAATAAAGAGAATAAAATAATAAATGTAATAATAATAAATAGAGTAAAATAATAAATGTAATCATAGTAAATAGATTAAAATAATTCATGTAATAATAATAATAGAGTAAAATAATGAAAATTGATAGTAACAATAATAATAGAGCGAAATAATGTAATAATAATAAAGAGAATAAAATAATAAATGTAATAATAATAAATAGAGTAAAATAATACATGTAATCATAGTAAATAGATTAAAATAATGCATGTAGTAATAATAATAATAATAATAATAATAATAATAATAATAATAATAATAACAATAACAATAATAATAGAGTAAAATAATGGAAATTGATAGTAACAGTAATAATAGAGCAAAAGAATGTAATAATAATAATGAGAATAAAATAATAAATGTAATAATAATAAATAGAGTAAAATAATACATGTAATCATAGTAAATAGATTAAAATAATACATGTAATAATAATAATAATAATAGAGTAAAATAATGGAAATTGATAGTAACAGTAATAGAGCAAAATAATGTAATAATAATAAAGAGAATAAAATAATAAATGTAATAATAATAAATAGAGTAAAATAATAAATGTAATCATAGTAAATAGATTAAAATAATGCATGTAGTAATAATAATAATAACAATAATAATAATAGAGTAAAATAATGGAAATTGATAGTAACAGTAATAATAGAGCAAAAGAATGTAATAATAATAAAGAGAATAAAATAATAAATGTAATAATAATAAATAGAGTAAAATAATACATGTAATCATAGTAAATAGATTAAAATAATACATGTAACAACAACAACAACAACGGAGTAAAATAATTAATCACCTTGACTCGAGTATAAGCCCAGGGGAGCTTTTTCAACATTAAAACAGGGCTGAAAAGCTCTTCTTATACTTGAGTATATACGGTACTCAGCATTCACTCCACTTACATTCAACATTCATACTCACCATCCCTTTGCTGGTCAGGCCTGCTGCTGGGAAAAGAGAGGCGGGTGGATGAATGCTGCATTCCTCAGAGATCTGCCACACAGTCGGAAAAAAAGGGTCTCCTTATGTAGCAATATGCTTATCCATCATTTGGTTGTTTAGATAACTTCTGTCATTCAGCTCAGACTTGCTGGGGCTTCATCAGTCCCAAAACAGATATGTTGTTTAACTTAGTTAACTTAAAGATCTATTGTCTTGTGTTGTTTACAACCAAGAGTTCTCAGGTCAGTTTCTCGTCAGTTCAGCAGTTTTCTCATTAGTATAACACAAGAACACAACAGAAAATAAGAAAATAAAAATAAAATACAAAAAAACCAATATAAATAAACAGCAACAATATAAAGTCAGAACATTAAAACACAGAAAATTTAATCACAGTGGGCAGAGCCAATTGTGAAGATTAAAATTTAAAACACTGGATGAGAGGGCAATGTAATGTAATGTAATTCCTAGGGCTGGTCGGTTTCGTTTCGTAATTTCGTAATTCGTTAAAAATTCGTTATTTTTTTTGATAACGAAGCGATATTGAACCATTCAGGAGCAACTAAAAAACAAAACGAATTTTTCCAATTCGTTTCGTAATTGTTTCGCTATTGTTTCGTTATTGATTCGTTATTGATTCGTAAATGTTTCGTTATTATTTCCGCATGTCTGGTGCAAGTTTTAGGGTTGCTGTTTGTTTTCTCAGTGAAAAAATATATAATTATCACACCAACAGTCAACAACAGAGGGAGAGGGAAGCTTCAGAAGTTTTTTTAGCGTATTGCGCAATCGTGGCCGCCATTAACGAATCGATTCGTAATCGATTCGTAATTGTTTCGTAATTGTTTTATGATTTCCGAAATTTCGTAAATATCGAACTTTTTTAAAGGAAAATTTCGGAATTCTTTTAAATAACGAAACGCAAAAAAAAACAAACCTAAAAACGAATCGAGTTTAGAAACAAATTTTTCCGTGTTTGGACAGCCCTAATTCCTTCCAAGGGAAGCACCAGATGATAGTTGCTCCTGCTCTTTCAGAGATTAATACGAAACCAGGAAGTCGTTTTGTTATCATTTGTTCCAAGCTGCACTGTAAATATTTTCAATTATTATAATTGGTCGCTGTTAGGAGACAACTTGTTATTTCGATAGAGTTACAAGCTGGGTAGATGCGGGGAATGCCGTGGATGTAGCGTGTCTGGATTTCAGTAAGGCCTTCGACAAGGTCCCCCATGACCTTCTGGCAAGGAAACTAGTCCAATGTGGGCTAGGCAAAACTACGGTGAGGTGGATCAGTAATTGGTTAAATGGATGAACCCAGAGGGTGCTCACCAATGCTTCCTCTTCATCTTGGAAAGAAGTGACCAGCGGAGTGTCGCAGGGTTCTGTCCTGGGCCCGGTCCTGTTCAGGATCTTTATTAATGACTTGGATGAAGGGATAGAAGGCAGGATCATCAGGTTTGCAGACGACACCACATTGGGAGGGATAGCCAATACTCCAGAGGACAGGAGCAGGATTCAAAACGATCTTGACAGATTAGAGAGACGGGCCAAAATTAACAAAATGAAGTTCAACAGTGACAAATGCAAGATACTCCACTTTGGCAGGAAAAACGAAATGCAAAGAGACAGAATGAGGGACGCCTGGCTCAAGAGCAGTACGTGTGAAAAAGCTCTTGGAGTGCTTGTGGACAACAAGTTAAACATGAGCCAACAATGTGATGCGGCGGCAAAAAAAGCCAATGAGATTTTGGCCTGCATCAAGAGGAGCATAGTGTCTAGATCTAGGGAAGTCATGCTACCCATGCTCTATTCTGCTTTGGTTAGACCACACCTGGAATATTGTGTCCAGTTCTGGGCACCACAATTCAAGAGAGATATTGACAAGCTGGAATGTGTCCAGAGGAGGGCGACTAAAATGATCAGGGGTCTGGAGAACAAGCCCTATGAGGAGCGGCTTAAAGAGCTGGGCATGTTTAACCTGAAGAAGAGAAGGCTGAGAGGAGATATGATAGCCATGTATAAATATGTGAGTGGAAGCCACAGGGAGGAGGGAGCAAGCTTGTTTTCTGCTTCTCTGGAGACTAGGATGCGGAACATGAGGAAGAACTTCCTGACTACGAGAGCCGTTCAGCAGTGGAACTCTCTGCCCTGGAGTATGGTGGAGGCCCCTTCTTTGGAAGCTTTTAAACAGAGGCTGGATGGCCATCTGTCAGGGGTGATTTGAATGCAACATTCCTGCTTCTTGGCAGAATGGGGTTGGACTGGATGGCCCATGAGGTCTCTTCCAACTATTTGATTCTATGATTCTATGATTCTCTCAGGAAGGCAGAGTCCGTCTCTTTAGAGCTGCTTTTCCAGAGGCACTTCAATGCTTTCCCTCGAGGTCAGCGGGGGATTATTGTCTTGTAGCTCCATGAGCCAGGAGCCATGATTGGTTGCCTTAAGTCACAATGTGCCTTGAGAGTCAGCCCCAGTGGTGTGGTAGGAGTCACAGTGTTAGTGGAATAGAAGGTTGAAAATTGCCCTTCTCCATGGAGCGGGATCACTGGGACCTTGTGGATCCTAGTCCCGTTTACAAGGTCGCTCAAACAATAACCATGAAATATTCTTCAAGAAGTGGACATGATGGATAGGCAGAATGCTCCGTTTGCTCTGATTGGTCTGAACCACAATGTGTTGAGCATAGTGTTAATGTTAGGTGGTCCAGAAAGCAGTTGCTTGACTCTTTGGAGCTAGCCTCCTAGTCATCAGTTGGCTATATATTTGGGTTTGGGGGGAGCTTGGTTAAAAAGTTAAATTAATTTAAATTAAAAAAAATAATCATTAGCAATACCAGAATTTCAAAATATCTTTGTTTTCCTGTCACTTCTTATTCTTATGGGTCATTCCATGCCAAGTTGTCTAAACTTTCCCACCATCATGTTCTCCAATTTTGTTCAAATTTTAGGTATAGCACCAGTCAGGTGTTAAACTAAGTTTCCAAAATGTGAGGAGATTCCATCTGAACACGAGGAAGAACTTCCTGACTGTGAGAACCATTCAGCAGCGGAACTCTCTGCCCCAGAGTGTGGTGGAGGCTCCTTCTTTGGAAGATGGCTGGATGGCCATCTGTCAGGGGTGATTTGAATGCAATATTCCTGCTTCTTGGCAGGGGGTTGGACTGGATGGCCCATGAGGTCACTTCCAACTCTTTGATTCTATGATTCTATGAACTGCAATAGTTGCTGATCTAGACCCCCTTATCTGAAGGGTAGTCAGTCTGGGTGTGCATTGTAACAAAATGCCATTTTGGGGTCTAATAAAATTGAAACTTAACATATAAGAATGCTTAGTAAATTGAAATCCTGTAGAGTTTTTTTCTGCCAATTCTGATGAAATTAAATTTAATGTTATGGATGCAAAATCCAGTCAAACAAGTGTGTGTCAAATTTTGACCAATAATAAATGCAAAATAATAAATGTAATCATAACAAAAATAATAAGTAGAGTAAATTAATAAATGTAATTAAAAAAATAATAGAATAAAATAATGTACCACATGTCATAATAATAATAAATGTAAAAATAACAATAATAATGGAGTAAATTAATAAATGTAATAATAATAATAAATAGAGTAAAATAATAAATGTAATAAAAATAATAAATAGATTAAAATAATAAATGTAATAATAATAATAAATAGATTAAAATAATAAATGTAATAATAATAATAAATAGATTAAAATAATAAATGTAATAATAATAATAGAGTAAAATGATGTACAAATGTCTTTTTTTTTTGTCGTGTCAGGAGCGACCTGAGAAACTGCAAGTCGCTCCTGTTGTGAGAGAATTGGCCGTCTGCAAGGACGTTGCCCAGGGGACGCCCGGATGATTTGATGTTTTATCATCCTTGTGGGAGGCTTCTCTCATGTCCCCGCATGAGGAGCTGGAGCTGATAGAGGGAGCTCATCCGCCTCTCCTCGGATTCGAACCTGTGACCTGTCGGTCTTCAGTCCTGCCGGCACAGGGCTTTAACCCACTGCACCACCGGGGGCTCCTACAAATATCATAATAATAATAAATAGAGTAAAATTAATAATATTAATCTATATATATAAATTTGTTAGGGGCATCCAACGAGGAAACAAAACTCAAAAACCCCCCAACGAAACTTAACCAAAATTCCCATGCCCATAACACAACCCACAAGGTACAAACATATCTACTCAAAATGAAAAACAACACAACAACACACTCACAAAACGGCAAAACAACAAAACTCAAAAAAACCCCAACGAAACTTAACCAATTCCCATGCCCATAACACAACCCACAAGGTACAAACATATCTACTCAAAATGAAAAACAACACAACAACACACTCACAAAACGGCAAAACAACAAAACTCAAAAAAACCCCAACGAAACTTAACCAAAATTCCCAAGCCCATAACACAACCCACAAGGTACAAACATATCTACTCAAAATGAAAAACAACACAACAACACACTCACAAAACGGCAAAACAACAAAACTCAAAAACCCCAACGAAACTTAACCAAAATTCCCATGCCCATAACACAACCCACAAGGTACAAACATATCTACTCAAAATGAAAAACAACACAACAACACACTCACAAAACGGCAAAACAACAAAACTCAAAAAAGCCCCAACGAAACTTAACCAAAATTCCCATGCCCATAACACAACCCACATGGTACAAACATATCTACTCAAAATGAAAAACAACACAACAACACACTCACAAAACGGCAAAACAACAAAACTCAAAAACCAACGAAACTTAACCAAAATTCCCATGCTCATAACACAACCCACAAGGTACAAACATATTACTCAAAATGAAAAACAACACAACAACACACTCAAAACGGCAAAAAAACAAAACTCACAAAAACCCCAACGAAACTTAACCAAAATTCCCATGCCCATAACACAACCCACAAGGTACAAACGTATCTACTCAAAATGAAAAACAACACAACAACACACTCACAAAACGGCAAAACAACTGAGCATGCGCATTGGCGCCCAGCCGCAAGTTCCCTGGCGCGCGCACATGCCCTTCCGGCCAACGTTCCCTCTGCGGAAACCATGCCCACTCCAAGCCCCGCCGCGCCGCTTCCCGCACACACACACACCCCTGCCGCACATACACACACAACCCCACACTCCATCACTCCCCCCGCCGCCGCACACACACACGCAACCCCACTCCCCCCGCCGCCGCACACACACACGCAACCCCACACTCCATCACTCCCCCTGCCGCCCCACACACGCACACCCCACGCTCCATCACTCCCCCCCGCCGCCGCACACACACACAACCCCACGCTCCATCACTCCCCCACCCCAATCTTACCTCCTTTTACTTCACGCCACCTCCAAACCCCACCCGCCCCTTCCCGCCCTGTCAAAATCTAGGAAAGACAGGAAGGAAGGAAAGAAGGAAGAAAGAGAAAGGGAGGTAAAGAAAAAGGGGGAAGGAAGGAAAGTTAGAGAAAGAAGGAAGAAGAAAAGGAAAGAAAAGGAAAGATGGAAGGAAAGAAAAGAGAGACAGCAGAAAAGAAAGAAAAAGGGGGAAGGAAGGAAAGAGATAGAGAAAGAAGAGGAGAAGGAAAGATGGGAGGGAAGGAAGGAAGGAAGGAGGGAAAGAAGGAGAGAAAGAGGGAAGATTGGCCACAGCAACACGTGGCGGGTAAAGGTTGTTATTTCTATTATTTATTATTATTATTATTATTATTATTATTATTATTATTATTATTATTATGCTATTGTTCCTATGAGACCCTGGAGGAATGGGAGAGGTGTCAGGTCCCAGAGGCAATGCATTGCATTATTGTTATTGTTATGATGGTGGTAAAATAAAAGGAAATAAAAAGTGAAAGAAGGAAGCAAACAGGGAGGGAAGAAAGGCAAAGGAAGAAAGGGGGAGGGAATGAAGGAAAGAGAGAAGGATGAAACCAAGTAGTGAAAGAAAGAAAGAGGTAGAGAAGGAAGAAAGGAGAGAAAGGGGGAGGAAAAGGGGGAAGGAATAGGTAGGGACCTCTCTTTCATAATAGTCCAGATATCTACCTCAACTTTGATAAGTTTTACTATAGGCCACAGCAACGCGTGGCAGGGCACAGCTAGTAAAAATAATAATAGAGTAAAATAATGTACCAAATGTCATTATAATAATAAATAAGGTAAAATAATAAATGTAATAATAACAATAGAAAATAGAGTAAATAATAAATGTAATAATAACAATAATAAATAGAGTAAATAATAAATGTAATAATAATAAATGTAATAATAAATATTGTAAATTAATAAATGTAATAATAATAATAAATACAGAAAATAAGTGTAATAATAATTAATAGAGTAAAATAATAAATGTAATAAAAATAGTAATAGAGTAAAATAATGTACCAAATATCATTATAATAATAAATAAAGTAGAATAATAAATGTAAGAATAACAACAGATTAGGTATTAAATGTAATAACAATAATAAATAGAATAAAATAATAAATGTAATAATAATAAATAGAATAAAATTAAAAATGTAATAAAAATAATAATAACAGAGTAAAATAATAAATAACCTTGACTTGAGTATAAGCCAAGGGGGGCTTTTTCAGCCTGAAAAAAAGCTGAAAAACTTGGCTTATACTCGAGTATATAGGGTATTTTAATCACTCAACACTATTATAGATCAGATTTGTTTTAGAGGGCCTTTGGTAGGAAGGCTGCACTATAAATTGAATTGTAAGTAAATGCAGAGTGGCACATACAATTTGACACTTCAGATCCTCCCCCTCTCCCCAATTTGAGTTTATAAATTCTCTAACTTTTAGTTAAGTGTAACCCTGATATACAAATGGATGCTGAAACCTTTGTCAAGTCATTTTTGGGCATCGTTTCTTAGATGATTATTAAACGCAGCATCTTATATCTTAGTGATGGTCGAGATTCTTGTAACTGACTCTTGGAAAGCTCAATTACTATTTTTCTTTTCCCAGCTCATGCCTGCGCTCCTGGCTTGAACAAGACACGTCCTGCCCCACCTGCAGAATGTCCCTCAACATCACCGACACGCACCAGGCGCGGGAGGACCACCAGCGGGAGAACATGGATGAAAACCTGGCTCCTGTGGCCGTGGCGGAAGGCAGGACACACCTGAACCAGCACAACCACTTCTTCCACTTCGATGGTTTGTTATAGTTTTTCATAGAACCTTAAAATTTTCCTTTGATGCATTTTTCAGTGGGACGGAGCATATCAGGCACTTCCAGAGAAGATGTAGGCACAACAGACACTAATTATTGGTTTTATAATAGCTAGCTAGATTGCTTACCACAGATCAAGGGAAAACGTCACATTTACTCAACATTCACTCATAATCCATACATTCAACATACATACAAATTGTTTATATGTGGGTTGTTGTAGGTTTTTTCGGGCTGTATGGCCATGGTCTAGAGGCATGGCCATACAGCCCGAAAAAACCTACAACAACCCAGTGATTCCGGCCATGAAAGCCTTCGACAATACATTGTTTATATGTGATTTATATTAATTGTATTGTATTTATTGTTTTTGTTTATTACTTTTGTTTATTGATATACTGTTGGGCTTGCCCTCATGTAAGTCGCTCTGAGTCCCTTGGGGAGATGGTGGCGGGGTATAAATAAAGTTATTATTATTATTATATTATTATTATTGCTCACCATTACCTCTCCAATTTTAGAGATGTGTGAAATAGCTGAAATCTGATTAATAATTAGTTTCAGGGATTCAGATGGTCCCCAGTTTGATTAGTAAAGATTCAGAGGTGTCCCATTTTGATTCATAATTTGATTCTCCGAAGTTTCGTAATTGCTTCGTTATGATTTGTTCCAGTAGTGACAACGGGAAAAATTACAAGGCTTGTTTTTCTGTCATTTTTACGACTATCAGGATTCAACTTGGCAAACTTGTAGGCAACATTTACAACTTTAAGCCCGCCAAGTTTCAGAACATTTTGGCCATTTACTAATTTTTAGGAAATTTGTAAAGTTTTATAAATATTTTACATTTTAAAAAAAACTACAAGAAGTATCCCCTTGAATTCTTGCACAATGAGACAACGTAAGAAGGGCACCAATCCTGCAAAGTTTCAGAAAGATTAGTTCATCTACTGATTACTAGAATTTCTTTTTTAAAAATTCAATTAATGTGTCGTGACCAATAATAGATGTAAAATAAGAAATGTAATAATAACAACAATAATAAGTAGAGTAAATTAATAAATATAATAATATGGATAATAAATGGAGTAAAATAATAAATATAATAATAGAGTAAAATAAATATAATAATAATAATAATAATAATAATAATAAATAGAGTAAAATAAATATTATTATAATAATAATAAATAGAGTAAAATAATAAATGTAATAAAATAATAATATATTGTCGAAGGCTTTCATGGCTGGAATCACTAGGTTCTTGTGGGTTTTTTGGGGGGGCTATATTGCCAATCTCCAGAGACATTTTCTCCTGACGTTGCTAATGAAGGTGGTCAGTTGAAACATTCACACCCAGCTCTAGCAGAGAAGAGCTCTTTGCCCCACCCCAGTCATTCCACAGATATATGAACCCTTTTTCCTAGTTCCAACAGACCTCACTACCTCTGAGGATGCTTGCCATAGATGCAGGCGAAACGTCAGGAGAAAATGCCTCTAGAACATGGGCATATAGCCCGAAAAAACCCACAAGAACCTAAAAATAATAATATTTTAAAAATAATTTAAAAAACAAGAGTACGAGAGGTATCCACTCAAATTGTGGCACGGTGTGACAACATGAGCAGGGCAGCAATCCTGCCAAGTTTCAGATCAGTCCATCCACTGGTTTTAAATATTTTTTCCAATTTAAGCGCATGCGATTAATCTACACAGATCTTTACGAATCTTTCCGAAAGTTTCAGAAGCTGCTGTTTCAATTCGTAAATACTTCAGAGTGTCTCTTTCCAGTTTGTAATTCAGAGATTCGTATTAACAAATCATTCATATGATTTTGCCAAAGTTTATGAACTCTGTAATTTTTTTTCGTCTCTGAAGTGACTTGAGAAACTGCAAGTCACTTCTGGTGTGAGAGAATTGGCCGTCTCAAGGACGTTGCCCAGGGGATGCCGGATGTTTTACCTCCGAAGCTTTGCACATCCTTACTATGCATTTAGGGCTGCTGCGGGAGAAAAGAGGCAGGTGGGCAGGTGCTACATGTCCCTGAAGGTAGATAAGGAAGACCCCTTCTTGTCCATCAGTTAGTTGTTTTGATGGTCATTGTGCTTTCTCTTTGACCAGGTAGAGCTTCAGCAATCACAGAACTAATGGATTATTTCAAGTTCCTTAATTTAAAAAGTTGTTAACTATCTATACATATCAGCTTCCACACAAGGGTCTCAGATTGATCTGCCCATTTTTTTTCTCATCAGCACTTTCTTTGCCAAAGTTTATGAACTGTGTAACTTTTTTCATGTCAGGAGCGACTTGAGAAACTGCAAATTGCTTCTGCTGTGAGAGAATTGGCTGTCTGCAAGGACGTTGCCAAGGGGACGCACGGATGTGTTACTATCCCGTGGGAGGCTTCTCTCATGTCCCCGCATGGGTAGCTGGAGGTGACAGATAGGAGCTCACCCCACTCCCCGGATTCGAGCCGCCAACCTATCGATTAGTAGTCCTGCTGGCACAATTATAATATAATATAATGTAATATAATATATTGTGTATACATATAATATTTATAATATAATAATATAATGCAATATAATACTACTAGTAATAATAATATGATATTATAATTATATATTTATACTACATGTAATATTACTAATAATATTACAATATAATGATATAGTACAATATAGCAATATTTAATATTGATATTGTCCTATGCTAATAACATAATATATTGTATGTATATATATCTTGTAAGCTGCTCACCTTTGGGGTGGGAAGGGCGACATGTAAGTGTCGTAAATCTATATATATATATAAATGTAATGTTAGTTTGTGGGAGAAACATAACTCAGAAACCACTGGACAAATCGACATGAAATTTTGACACAATACACCTAACAGTCCATTGATGTCTCCATCACCCCTGAAAACACTAATGCCCCCCCCCCCCAGTGGAATAGACTTAAAACTCAAAAAATACCCCCCATATACATATGCACGTACAATTATATACATATTTGTGTGTCCTTGTGTATACGTGTTTGTGTATGTGTGTGTACAATTATGTACACACATACACAAACACGTATACACAAGGACACATATTATAATATATTATTATTATATTGCATTACACAATATACATCTATATATATAAATCTGTAGGGGGCGTCGTACGGCGTCGCATAACTCCACAACCCCCCAACGGAACTGACCCAAAATTCCCATGCCCCTAGGCCAACCCACTCGCTACAAACTAATCTACTCCAAAGTAAAGAAAACACAACTGCAACGACGAAAACACCACAAAACAACTGAACATGCGCACTGGCGCAAACCCCCCGGCACGCGCGCACCCGCCGCCCCTCGCCCCCCCCCGGCGGCACACACGCGCGCGCGGCGGAAACTCCCCGCCACGCGCACACCCGCCGCCCCTCACCCCCCCCCCGCGGCACACGCGCGCGCGTCGGAAACTCCCCGCCACGCGCGCACCCGCCGCCCCTGCCCCCCCCCCGCGGCACACGCGCGCGCGTCGGAAACTCCCCGCCACGCGCGCACCCGCCGCCCCTGCCCCCCCCCCCGCGGCACACACGCGCGCGCGGCGAACTGAGCATGCGCTCTGGCGCAAACTCCCGACGCGCGCGCACACATGGCCCCTCACCCCCCCCCCCCCGCGGAATTACCGTTGAAAGGGACAGTCCAGAAGACATCAGAGAAGAAGGGAAAGAGAAGGAATGAAGGAGCCACAGGGGGAAGGAAGGAGAAAAGGACATAAAATTAAAGGTAACAGAAGGAAGGAGAGAAAGACAGAGGGAGGGAGGGAGGGAGGGAAGGAAAGAGGGAACGAGGGAAAGGCCGACGGCGGGCCAGGAGGGGCCCGGCTCCGCCTCTGCCGCCTCCTCCTCGCCAGGGGGATCCAAGACAGAGAGAGTAGGAAGGAAGGAAGGAGAAGGAGGAGGAGAAGGAAGGAAGGAAAGAAGGAAAGACAGAAGACATAAAGGAAGGAAGGAAACAAAAAAGGAAGGAAGGGAAGCAGAAAGGGAAGACTGAAATGGGCCACAGCAACGCGTGGCAGGGTACAGCTAGTATACACATATAAACACACAAATACATACACACGTATACACATATACACACATATACATACATCCACACACACACACATATATGCAAACACACATATCTACACATATACACAAATATATACACACAGAGTCCCCTTTGGGGTGAGAAGGGTGGCGTATAAATGTCATGAATAAGTAAATAAATAAATATACACATACTGGGCCACAGCAATGCGTGGCAGGGGGGGGAGGAGCCACCATGGCCGGGTAGCAGACGTCTCCTTTGCAGCTCCCGAGAAAAAGAGCAGAATGCAGTGATAAATGGATCAAGGATTTCTCTTTATGGACTGGAAAAGAGGTGAAAGCACGGTGTGTTTAAGGAGCTGAAAAAGAGGAAGCCAAAAGGTAAATTATTACCGTTTAATTGCTTTTGATTTATGAGCTCCAGCAGAGGGAGTGAAAAGGGAGTGAAAAGCCAGCTTCGGCTCCAGTGGAAAGTGAAACTAACCTTTAAATTACAAGTGCGTCATAAGCCTTGCTACTTAAATAAAACTTTTGAGAGACTGGATTTAATGATTTTGAAAGGCAAAAAGCAATGATCAAAGGCATGCTTTTTCTATGAAGAAGGAGTGAATTACTATCGTCAGTTAAAGCGAATTCCCCGGTATAAGGGAAGGTTGCAAGTGATACAAGATATATTTGGTTGGAAACTTTTGGACTGTGCTGAATGACTGAATGAACTGAATGAGTAGGAGTAGGAAGACACATCAAGGGAAAGACACACCAAGAGAGACTCCAAAAAACCCTCTGTGGGAACGTACAAAACCCTCAGATAGATCTCTTGCAAGGCTTACAAGGCTCACTGGACTGGACAGGGTGGAAAATCCTGAGGCTCTCCAGGCTCCTCAGCTCCCTAAAGACAT